GCCACCTCTGGCATGCGTGCCATAGGTTCGCCATCATGGCTATAGGATATACATCACTCTAGTGCAGATTGGGGAGCCTTTCCATCTTTATAACAATCTCATTCTCTGTTTCATCTAATCTCACTTTGTTAAGACAACAGCAATTCCGTGTGCCTCGGTGTGTAGTCATGCTGGCTGCATGACCATGGAAATGTTTTCGGACAACACAGGCCCCCTCGGCTAAGAAACAAAGATGAGCACTGCCCGCTTGAGTCTGACAACTGGACAGGGGAAAGCTTCACCTTTACCCATAAACATATTCATTCATTCTTCCATTCAATCATGTCCAGTTCTCAGAGACTGCCTGGACAAGTCCCTGCAACTTTCTTGGCAAGGTTTTTTCAGAAGTGATTTGCCATTGCCTTTTTCCTAGAGCTAACAGAAAGTGACTGCCCAAGGTCACCCAGCTAGCTTCATGCCCAAGGTATGAGAGTAGGACTAGAACACAGCATCTCCAAGTTTCTAGCCTGATGCCTTAACCACTACACCAAAATAGCTCTTATATACTGTATATGTAGGTCGGTAGGGGTGTGTGTGTGTGTGTGTGTGTGTATGTGTTTGTAGATATAGCTAGATAGTAATATTTTCTCTTTCCTCAGCAGCAGTGAATTTGAAGCACACTATCCATCCATAAACACATATGGAATTATTTAAGTCATATATTGACAAAATGTTCAGTATTTTTAAAATTAAAAGTTGATTCATCACATAACATGGATTAATATTTCAAAGTGTCCAAAAACAAAGTTTGAAAATGTGAATAGTAGCTTTCAATTCTTAAGGTGTGATTAAATATACTACTATATACTAATAAAGTGCTCTTTTATAATTGCAAGTTGTGTTGTACATAGCACTCTTTAATAACTTTTAAACTAGAAGGAATTGGGACTTTACATAGCAACCTTTTAATAATGGCTCATACTTTGTGATTTCAGTCCTGTATGTTTACATATGGGCAAGGTAACTTTTAACTAATATATCAATATTTAATAATTAACATTGTGATATAGATATAAAATTATTTATTTTGGCAGGTCTCTGTTTTCTTACCATACATGAGATACCAAAATATTCTGGATTTGGACTAATGCTTCCAGGGTATATGTATGGCTCTGAAGTATGTAAAAGAAAAAAAGCCACTTCAAAGTATTTGAGTTCTTGCTTCCCACTTTAAAAAATGAAAATATACACTACCTAGAATACTTCTACCTTGTTAGATAGCCTACGTGAGACTTTAAATATGTAGATTTTAATAACTGTTAACAGGTTTCTTATGTGCAGTTTCAAAATGCTGTATATTTACATACATACGTATATATCTCACACACACACACACACACACACACACACACACACACACACACACATATATATATATATATATATATATATATATATATATATACATACATACATACATACATACACATGGAATTTCCACAATATTCATAGAAACTATAATTATAATCCAGCCATTATACTAAGATTTTAATGAATTAGAGGAAAATATTTTACAGACTATTTAATATTAGGGCACTTCAACTGTAACAGTTTATGTCAGCGCTTCCAGTGAAAAAAATAGTATATGCAGGTAGTTATTGCCTAATATGAGGGAAGACAAGACAATATAACATTTCAAGAAAAAAGTGTTTCCCAAATAAAGGTAAGAGATAAAATAATGTCCTTCATTATATACAGATTCTTGGACCTTTAACTAAAACATACAAAGCAGACATATTATTTTTATTGGATTATTAGTCTCTTAGTACTTCGTTACAGCTACTAAGTAGGACAAAATACAGTACAGGTAGTCTTCAACTTATAACAGTCCATTTAGTGACTGTTCAGTTACAGCAGCACTGAAAAAGTGACATAACTTTTTTCACACTTATGACCATTGCAGCATCCCCATGGCCATGTGATCAAAATTTAGACATTTGACAACTGACTCATATTAATAATGTGGCAGTATCCCAGGGTTATGTGATCCCCTCTTGTGACCTTTTTACAAGTAAAGTTAATGGGGAAGTCAGATTCACTTAACTCTGTTACTAATTTAACAACTGTAGTGATTCACTTAACAACTGTGGCAAGAAAGATCGTAAAATTCAGCAAAATTCACTTAATAATTGTTTCATTGAGCAACAGAAATTTTGGGATCAGTTGTGGTCATAAAAGTTGAGGACTACCTGTATTTTATTTTTCTCTTCCACTGAATAACTTTAAAAGTGAATTCTAAAGTAATTCATAAAATTATATAGTGCGCTCCTGAAGAAATAATTGCTTCTTTTATTTTTCCCTGCACGCCACCTTGTTATCAGAAAAAGAAGCAACTGTTCTGAAAAATATTGAATTTTTCTCTTTGAAATAAATAAGTTAAAATGATGAATCTATGTTCAAAATAATAAGCCAAAAATAATGAAACAAATTCCAGCAGCTGAATACTGCTTGTCTTGCTTCTTTTTGTTGGATCAATATGATTTTCTGAGGATAAGGATTTGTTGTTAGTTTGCTTACATCAGAGGTGTGAAACTCAAGGCCTGGGGACCGGATCCGGCCCACGGGGTAATTAGAACTCACTGCAGGGCCACCCTGGAAACAGCGAAGGACCGGCCTGCAGTGCTTCTGCCAGCGAAAACGGGCTCCCGAGTTCCATTTTCGGCTGCCAGGGCCTCTACAATACTCTGCCAGTGAAAATGGAGCTCATGAGGGATGCATGTGTTTTCGCTGGCAGAGGGTTGCAGGAGGCCATCCCAGCCAAAAACAGCGATTGGGAGCCCGTTTTCGCTGGCACAGGGCTCAGGCTACCACAGACGCCCCCAACATGAGTGACGTTGAGCTAGCCACATCCACCTTGGCCCCCCCAAGGTCAAATACAACCCTGATGCGGCCCTCAATGAAATTGAGTTTAACACCCCTGGCTTACACCATCATGCTTTAACATACAGGTGACGGGGGTGTGTGGAATACCTGGGTGAACAAATATGTAATCATTACTACTGTATATAAGTACCGACAAAAAGAATGACCATCAACATATACTGATCATAATATAATCTGGGATAATTTTCACCAACCACTATTCAGATGGAGATCATGATCTCTAAGAACTCTTTCAGTTCCTGCATAAAGTACCAGACAGAAAATTTGCCTTCATTCATGCAGTAACTTAGTTAGAAACAAAAGGCAAGCTGATTTATAAAAAAGTTCTTTCAATAGCTTTGTCTTCTTTTTAATTACATCACTTTATAAATGAATATAAAATTGAAGACATTCTATTTTTATCTAACATTACAGGATTATGTAAAAGGCCCACTCATTTGTTTTCATTCTATAAAAAACTTGCTCCTGTAGAAAACCTCATCTGCAGGCAAGGGATTTTTTTTTTTCAGAACAATCCAATAATAGTGCCAGTTTGTACCAGTTAGGACGCTTGTCAGGATTATAGTCATAACTTCAGCTGCTACTCTTTTATGCCAAGTATAAATAATGTATGTTTTTAAATGAGGTAAGGAAAAATCATAATGCGTATGAGGAATTAAAATTTGGCACTTTATCATAATTAAATCAATAAGCTGATACTGATACATTTTCCATGAACAGAAAATAACTATAGCTCATAATAAATTATCAGTTAAATGGATTATGCAAACATTATTTCATTTAATTATCAAGATTCACAATAAATGTAATTTCTGTATTCTAGAATTTCTAGAATTCTTGCTTGCTGTTAGAAAATGTATTTATTATATATACTGGATAGCCTACATATACAGGTAGTCCTTGACTTATGATCACAATTGAGCCCCAAATTTCTGTTGGTAAGCGAGACAGTTGTTAAGTTAGGTTTGCTCATTTTATGGCCATTTTGCCACAGTTGTTAGATAAACTACTGCTGTTAAGTTAGTAACATAATTGTTAAGCAAATCTGGGTTTCCCATTGACCAAAGGGCACAAAAGAGGATCACATGACTCTGGTACACTGCAATTATCATTAATATAAGCCAATTGCCAAACATCCAACCATGGGGTGCTTCAATGGTCTTAAGTGTGAAAAACGGTCATAAGTCACTTTTTTCAGTGCTGTTGTAACTTCAGAAAGTTACTAAACAAATGGTTGTAAGTTGAGGACTACCTGTATTGGAAAATTGTATCTATTTTTATTGCATCATATATAATACCTACTCAAATGTCTGCAAAGTAAATTTACAACATATTAACTTTTCTCTCTTCTATTATTATGAATATACCTTTATCAAGGTATAACATATTGACATGTGCAAGTGCATTTAGAGAAAATACTATTTCCCCTTTTAAAAAGGGAACCTGTACTAATAACAGCACAGAAGGGAAAAAATAGAATAACAGTCAAAGGGACATTATGAAATATCTTTAGCCTAGACAGTTTTATGTCTTCAGTGAGTTAGCAAGTTTGATGCAAAACCCAAAATGATTGCGTATTACGTAGCTCATACAAATGATATCCAAGCCTACTATATAACTTCATGGATTATGCCTATTGATAAACTATTAATCTGATATATACAATTTAATATAGAAAATTTTGATTAGAATGGGAGAAATATGCAGCTTCTATTCTGACTGTGGAAGTATTCTCAAGCATAAATAGCTAGTTGCCTTAATGGAACTTTATGAAATGACAAATTAGTACATTTTTCAATGAACATTAGTACTTTAAAATTATGTATCATCTAAAAACTTATTTTCACTGTAAAAGACCAGCATAACTTTTAAACTGGAGTTGAAATCTCAGCTGTCTAGACCATACCAAACTGACAATTATTCAACTTCAAAGTTTTCAAGAGTTAAACATATAAATCATGAATGCAGTATAAATTACTTATACAACCTAGCATCAATGAGATACCTGAATTCTTGCATAGTTCTATTAGTAAGAAAGGTTTAAAAAGGTTTTTAAAAAAAACTTTAATGGCACTTACTCAAATGCAAAAAAGAGTCCACTGGTCACCAAAATAAGAACAAATGTCAAGTAGAAGACTCCAGTCTGCTGAGCCATCATGATCCTTCCATTGCAAAAAAATTTGTTTCTTCCAGGAAAAACCTCCCATTTTCTCTTGGAAATGCTTTTCTTCATATGGGGAGACTCCATGGGAGAAGAGGAGCTATGAGTGCTGATCTGACTGTATTCACAGTCTTTCATGGGTCCTCCAACACCACCACCAGGACTCATTAATGGAGAATAAGGAGGAACCCCTCCAGCAACTCTTGCCTAAAACTTCTGAAGAAGACACTATTGGGTGTTTTATTAAAACAAGTTTATCATGGCATTTTAAAAATCCCAATTCTCTGTTAAAGATTTCAAAGCTGTCATTTATGAAATATAAGCACAGTAATTTTTCCCTTCTTCACAATTAAATAAAAACCAAAGTTGAAAGTGCATAATCATAGAATAAAATAGGAATGAAAAAGGCTTAGATATAAAACAGTTGTCAATTAAACATAGAACTTTATGATTTTAAAGCATTCTGCCTTCTGTTTTAAGAAACTGCTCAGTTTTACTTCACATTCCACTTTTAACGTACGTGGATCAGGTTTTGAGGCAAGCAGTCTCTAATCAAAATCCTCACAAAGATTTCTAAAAAAATTCTTAAAAGTAGAATTTGTATGAATTGTTCTGAACAAAAACCAACTCTAAGTGCAGCAACTGAAAAACACACTATAATATCCAATTTTCTCCCACTATGGTCTTTTTCTTCTTCCTTCCAATGGCAAGAGATTAGTTCCTATTTTTTGTCATTATAAAAGGCCTTTTCAAACGCAAAACAAAAATGCGGTCAGTGCCATCCCTGGAAAAAGGTGGAAGACATGGCAAGTTTCAAGCCAGTCTTCATTTTTTATATATATACACCACTATAAAAATATGTCAAATTCAAAGGAGGGGGGAGGGGAATGCAAAAACCAAAGCAAAATACAGCTGTCCTCAGGCCACTTTATTACTGATTCAGCCTTGCCAGGCAAAAATAACTTCTAGTTTTAGAAGTACTGGCTGATCTCTCTCCACTTTTCTCCTTCAAGCCACCGGAGACCCCAAACTGCGCTACACCACCGCAATCCTAGTCCCGTCTTCCAGGAGAAAACAGCAGCAATAGGAACCGTCGAGGAAAACGGCAAGGAGAGTTGGCTTTCTGCTTCTACTTTAATCTGGGTTTATTCCCTGCAGCCGAACAGAAGCAGCCACCTTCACACCCCCGTCTCAACGCCAAGGGGAGCGGAGTTGTGCGGAGAAGCCCCCTGAATCACGGCGGCCGTCGGGGGATCGCCACCAGCAGCAGCAGCCGCCTCCCCCGTCGCCGTCTAGGATCCACGCGGCCCCACTCGAAAAGCGGCTGCAGGCGAGAGAAAGGAGGCGAGCCAGCGTTCACACGCACCCTCTTCGTGGGTCCCCGCGAGGAAAACACGGCCAGTGTTCCGAGGAGGCAGTAGCAAAAGGCGGCAGCTTTCTTCTACGGGGACGCTCCTTGGAGAGAAGCGCACCGGGAAGGGGTCGGGATCACTCAGCACGGTGGGGGCGGCGGCAGGCGGAACCCCCGGGGCAGCCGCCGCCTCCACCTCCCCTTCCGCGGCTCCTGCCTTTCACTTTCATTGTCAGCCGCTTGGAAGGCGGCGGCGGTGGCGGCTCTATCCGTGACGGTCCGCCTCACGGGCTCAGTCTTGGCCGGGGAAGGCAAGGGGGGCTGCTTGCGCGCGTCTCCCACCGCCCACCTCCACACGGCAGGGGCAGCCTCCGATCGGTTTCTTTCATCGACCGGTCGCCTTCCGCGCGCTCGCTCTTTCTCTCTCTCTCTCTCTCTCCTTCCCTTCCCCGCAACAGCAGAGGCCGTGTCACTCGGCCCGGCGCGCACGCAGAAGCCGGCGACAGCGACTCCCCAGCGCCCCACGCGGCCGCCGGAGGAAGCGCCTGCCGCTGCCACCGCCTCCCACTATTGGAACGCTCGCTCGCGCGCTCGCCCACCTGCGGATCACGGGACGCCAAAGGGAGAAACCCCGCCTCTCCACAATTCCCCCCCCCCCCCCTCCCCAGCTACCCGTCCGAAAACTCAAAGCGCTGCGCTGTTTGTGGCCGGCTCCTCTATCACCCTAACCCTAACACAAACCCCTCCTGCTCTTTTGCGTCATTCTGGGAAATGTATGCCGGGCCTTTTTTTTTTTTAATTATTATTCCGCGTGGGACGGCGAGATACATAAGAAACGCATAGAAAGGAGGGGTGGGAGAGGGGAAGGGACGAAACTACATATCCCAGAATCCCAAATTCATTTTCCTCGCTCCTCCCTTTTAAATCGCCTAGCAATGTAATCTGTGCGAGGAAGATAGGGATGGGGCAGGAAAGAGATGAGAGATTAAAGGGAGAACGAAAGGGAGGCGGGAGATAATTGATAATTAGTATTAGAACAGAACTAATAGGTAGCTATTTCTAAATATGGCCAGTTTGCCCGGTGAAATGCTCAGTTTTTATTTATTTGTAAGTTTCAGTTAGAGTTACATTGAAACTTACCCAGCAACTTGTCTAAATATGGAAGTTGTTATTCGTCGTGCCTGGAGGGTTCCGGAACCTGGGTCAAACCACCGGCTTAACTGAATGAATTGAATTGTGTTAAATCTGTTGAGAACCCACAAAACTTTTAATGCTATTTATACCGTTTCCTTTGAGTTTATTGACGTCTGCTTTCGAGTTTTCTGCTCTACGGTTCTTTCTGTTATTCCCATGGTATTTCCTATTATAACTATGTTAATTTTGCCATTTTCTTTTACTTTACAAACTTGCCCACACTTTTTAATTTTTACATTATATTATGAGCCATGCTAACACCCACACAGATTACCAAAATGTCTTCCAGAAAAAAAAGTTATTTTGAATATATTAGAGGGAAGTGGTTACGTTATGCAGGTTCAGATTTTTGTTAAATACAAAGATTCAGGCCCCAAATGATTTAGATTTACAAAGGAAATCTTGCTTTGTGATTTTTGGAAATTGAGTGGTGCTCCACGAATTAGAGATCATGCTAGTCACAAATCATTTCAATATACTAATATATACTAATATATTAATAACATTAACAATATACTAACGTAATGGATTTTCATTATATTGATTTAAATTGTAAAAAAAAGCTTCAAATAGAAATGGAAATACAAAGAAATGTAAGGCAATCATTCCAATTTGCCTTTTAATGTAATTTGGAAAAGTATGTTGTATGGAATATTAGCTTCCTACAAAGAAATAGTGATGTAATAAAATATGTTGCTCCCAATATAGAAATATTTAAAATATTACATCTTAAAAGTGTCAAGTTTAAACACACACCACACAGAGAAAATGTTAATGAGCTGTTTATTTCATAGAGCAAAGTACAAGAATCTACATTAATTGAAACTGGAAGGTATTTTGGCATTTCTCAATGGCAGCCATGGGGGTAATAAAATTAACTATAATATATTTTTATTCTTAAAATGTTTCAGTTGCTGTATATTTAAAAAGATTAGAATGATAGTTCAATGCATGCAAATGGGCAAATCCTGCTGAACTTAGGGATTTAGTCTATAAAATATAAAACTAATATCAATTCCTGGCATGTGGCACCCACATTGCACAACTGAAAATTAAGTGGTAAAGATTGCTAAATTTTAGCAGCATTTTCTTCCTGTTTTCTTGAATGGGAATGGGAGGCTTCAAGAAACAAATTGTTCTACCCTTAAATCCCACCTTTAAAACATTTCCCTGAAATCTTAGATTTCTAGATCAGGGGTGTCAAACTCATGACATGTCACATGACATACCACAACTTTTTTCCCCTTCGCTAAACCAGGGGTGGGCTTTGTCAGCGCGTGATGCATCCGGTCTGTGGGCCGCAAGTTTGACACTCCTGTTCTACATGAAGCCCCAATTACAGCAAATGATGCAAAGTATCTGTATCATTTGTCAGTTATACCATTATGCATATGTTGGCACTTGCCCTACCCCATGCTTCCCATGGCTGAAATTAAGATGTGATCTCTTCCCTTTTTTGTATTTTGGACTACTTGAGAATGCCCCCAGGCAGTGAACTACTAAAATAATTAAAAAGCCCAACATTATCAGCCATTTTCTTTCAGTAGTGGGTTCCACTTACCTTCACTACCACTTCGGAACCAGGAGCGTAGAAGCGCTTCGCTCACATGCGGCACTTCTACGCATGCACAGAACCTTCTGCGTATGCACAGAATGTCCATGATGATATCCGGGCAGGTGGGTGGAGCCTCCCGCCACTGCCACTACCTGTTCACCCAAACCAGGATGAACCAGTAGAAACCCACCACTGTTTTCTTTTCAATAATATCAGCAAAAAAACACTTTCTCCTGGTAGATCATAATGATGTTGCATAGTAGTGTTCCCCGATTTAGGGGAAGTTTCCCATTTTTGCCATATAATGCAAAGTAAACAAGCAATTTGAAATAAAAATTATAACTGATGTCTGAGAATAGTCTTTGTATTTTATTTATTTATTTGTATCCTGCCTTTATTAATTTTACAAAGAACTCAAGGCAGCAAACATATTCAACATACCTTCTTTCTTTTATATTCTCCATAATAACAACCCTATGGGATGAGAGGGAGAGAGAAATGCTCATGAATCTGAAGATACAATAATTTGTGGAGTAGACCCACTGCAAACAACCACTTCAAAGCAATTTAAGTCCTATTGATTTGAATGAATATGTTCTAAATATAACACAATCTATATTAAATCTGTTGTTTCTAGTATATTTCATGGGCATTAGTTGACAGGACATGGGAATTAAGACATTTTAAATGTCTTCGATTTCTTATTCAGTCCAGTTGAAGGGTTAATGCAGTTGTGAGGACATAGGCAAATGCCAATTCAGAATTAATATCAACTGAACTAAGCTGTTGGGTTGTGCTATTGCTGGAACAGGCCTGCTAATAACAATGTGAACTCTAGCCCTGAGGGTTTAGCTGACTTCAAATACAGGAAGGGCAAAGGTCTTCATACCCTTTTTTCTTTCTGTCATCCTACTAGCAACAGAACTATCTAGTAAATAACTCCATAGCATAAATACTGTTACTAGCCTACACTTTCTAATGGTAATTATACAAGGCAATTGCCTAGAAATAAAAAAAAATGGCAGACTTCATGCTGTTTATTTTAGATTTTTTCAAACTTGGCAACTCTTAAAACATGTGGAATTCAACAGCCAGAATTCTGGCTGGAGAATTCTGGGAATTGAAGTCCATAAATCTTAAACTTGTCAAGTCTGAAAAAACAGTGGTTTATTCTAGCTGCCGAGCCCAAACACATTTTTTCCTCACTCGCATGTAACTAAGTCAATGTATTTTCAAACCAGCAAACAAAGCTTGCTGAGCTGACCTTTTTCTTGTTTGAATAATCAGCAATGGATCTTAGGATCCTAGGTCAATTTTGAAAAAAGCTTAGTGACTGCTTATACTACTAAGATAAATTCCCACAAGCATAAAAAGCTATGCAGTTCTACTTCAGCAGACACTAACAAGCTAATTCAATATTTGCCTGTTTGTTAAAGTAAGAAAGTACAAGAAGACTTAACAGGATCAAGACATCTTGCTAAGCCAAAAACCTAAGGATCAAAATAGGAATAGCACAACTTAGATTGCCCTTATTGTTGATTCCATCATTCCTCCAATTGTAACTCAAGTTTTTGAGGGTTGATAAGAGTAAAACATAGGGTGCCAGGCCAGCTTGAAAATTATGAGAGGAGGAATGAATTGAATTCATTAAACTAAAACATACAGCTCCTGGATCTGGGCTACAAAAATCAGAGTAACTATGAGATGATGGCAATGGGATACAGAAAAGTCTAAAAATGTCAGCTAGTAGTCTTGCAGATTTTTGCAACCCTATTGTTGGTATAACCTTCAAGCTGTGGTTTAGCTTGCAAATTATGCTTAAAAGAAAGTCTCAGGAAATATTTTTATAGTACTGCTATTCCACAATTCATAACATACATGTACACTAGAGCAGGTATACAGAGATCTTCAAGTTCTCCATCATCACTATTACTGGTGAAACAAAAGCATTTATTTTAGTGCTTTTATGATACATAACCTTTAATTTAGGCTGGGGATGTGAATGTATAAACCAGTGGTCGCCAACTGGTGATCCGGGGACCACTGGTGGTCCACGAGAAAATTTTGGTGGTCCATGGAGAAATCTTAGTATTTTTCCGGGTGCACCCTGGTGGAGGAGCTGCTCCAGGATGACCAATAGGCCACTCCTGTGAGTGTGATACTACAGTTCTGGAACATGGGACCAACTGTGGCGGGGCTGGAAATCTCTGCCCTGGGGTGGCATGTGCAATGTGCAACTTTGCAGATGGTGCAATACGCAAAAAAGAGCACAGCCCTCTCCATCCGGAATGAAATAATGGTGCTGTTGCCGCGGCAAGGGAGGGGGCGGCAAAAGCGGGCCGAAGCAGCGATTGCAATGGCTGGAAGCTGCGGGAGCGATGCAATACTTGCACTTCTTCCGGCCCTTGTTGGTGCTCCATGCACCTCGGTCTCTCAGGGAGTTGTTTGACTTCCTCTCAGCCCCAAGACACTGGTTGGCCCATGAGATGAGAGAGAAAGAGAATCAGAGAGAGAATCAGAGAGAGAATGAAACAGAGAGAGAGAAAGAGGCAGAGAGAGAGAAAGAAAGAGAATCAGAATGAGACAGTGAGAGAGAAAGAATGAAAGAGACAGAATAAAAAAGAGAATGAGAGAGAGAGAGAAAGAGACAGAGAATCAGAGAGAGAATGAGAGAGAGAGAATGGGAAAGAATCAGAATGAGAGAGAATGAGAAACAGAAAGAGAATCAGAGAGAAAGAGAGAGAATGAAAGAGAGAATCA